GAAACAAATACATCACAAAAAAAAAGTTACCGGATTTGTTAAGCTGGAAACTATTAACTTGAACATAAATATTTTTCTTTCGTAATGCCTTGTTCTAGTAACCTGACAATGTACGTTATAACATATTTATTTGAATAAAGTATATTTTTCTATTTTACAGAAACTGACGGAAAGAGTTATACTGCTCTGACCCTGGCAAGAAAACACTCGAAAAATCGGTCTTAATCCTCCAGACAACATTACGTGTTTGTTCTGTCATTGTCACAGCTACTCATAACGACATCTGATCGTACTCCTATTTTAGCTTCTAGTAAACGTATCGCTAGATTACAGTTTTGACACCAGACGGTTCTATGCCACTTCGTGCTCACTGTTTACTGATAAACATTAAGTCACAGCATTATCTCGGATATTCTATATTATTGGAAGTATAAGTGATGCTGGCGTCAGTCTCCATATTTGAAGGTGTAACTGGATAATCTTTTTCAATTGTAACGTGCAACCACTGCAGCTATGAAAAGGAATCAAACACACACGTATATATATACAGACAGACAGACACACACACATATATATATGCGTGTAGTACTATTTATTTTCTGTTTTTGCTCTTTTAAAAAAGGCAGGTTCCTATGAAATTATGTGCACACACCAACACAAACACACACCTAATCTATGTTCGTAATTTAAGCTGTAATAGCATCAGGAAAATTCCGAGATCCAGGTGAGGATTTCCTTCTGACCTAGCCCCCCCCCTCCCTTCCTGTATACTGCTATGCCTTAGCTCCAAACTCACCCCCCTTCCAGATCGCAGGGAAAATCATTTCCACGTATGCTCAGGCTAGTTTATTTTGCTGGAATATTCACAAGTCCAGCTGTTCACCATCTCAGAGAATATCTGCAACAACAATATCCTTTGGTTATGGTAACAAAATTTCACATTTCTTACTACTATGCGATATTTTCTAAATTGCGGATTTCCTTCAGAGTAGTCAGTAAGGGCTCACTAATGGGAGAGTCAAATGATGCTAAGTTACAAAATTTGTCTTTTTATTATCTCTTTGGTTTCTAACTGAGTATGTTAGGAAGAAAGAGTCGAATCGTGGAAGGTGCAATAGGATGATCTTTATTTATGTTGTAAAACACAATCATAGTTATTAACATAAAACAAATTGAAACAAAACAGGCAAGTGGATCTGCAGTGAATGTGAGAGAAGGGAAGTGAAACTTTTGTAAGCTCTTTCTCACCTGTTCAGGATGTGCCTCTCCTATAAGATAAAATAAACTTACAAAATGAAAATAAGCCCTACGTTAAGAGAAGAAAAAAAAGGACACAAAAGTTATTTAAACAAAAGCGAAGCAAAATCTAAGTCTCAGGAAAATGATTTAAATAAAGAAATACTCAATCTTACCAAGAACTCTAATCTGCTAAAAAGTTAAGTTACAAAAAAATCTCCTAAATACAAAAGAATCAGACAAAATATACAATAACAACTTAAGCCATGTTTGCACACTAAACACTATTCTGCACATGACCCTCGTTCACTCATTCTTGATTATAGGGTGGGGGAAACCCCAGGCCATTATTTAGTTCACTGATAGGAAGGTCAGCTTTCTACTATTGGACGACACGCGATATCTTCTTTGCAAGAAATTCGGTTAATTGCCAATTAGTGGATACGGCAGTAGACAAAGCGAGATAAAAAGTGAAGTTAAATGTGTTTGTTTGGACTACTATACATTTTACAAAATTTTCGAAAAATTACATATTAATTAAGGGGTAGAATGCACTTGGTATCATCTTAAGTACAAATTGAGCACAATGTTACCTGATCTTTGCAATAATGAGGGTTTGATGACCTAGCAAGTTTAGTAATATTTTGTAAGTGAAATGAAATTGACAATGAATTAAAATACAACCACTTTATTTACTGAAGATAACGAAAGAACGACACCTTGGTTGATTGTGATAGTTGGAAGGATTATTATGTTGGGATTAAAAGCTAGTTAAAAGCAACATAAACTGTATTGGAATGAAACAATAAATTATATACCTCTGTATTTAAATAATAGAAAGAAAATAAATTTTATTTGAATAAACTGAAAATGGAGTGACTGGTTAACTACAATACTAGACACTGCATAAATTCCAAACAAGATGAGACTTCATCAAATTACACAATCTTTTGTACACTGAACAATCATGCGTCAGTCAAGGTAATGTTGTACACAATACAACTATACCGTGAAACATTAAATAGCTTTCATGAATAAAACCTGATACAGAAAGCAGAGCTCAAATTAAATATTTTTTTGATATTTTGTTTCCAAGTCTTTATTTAGAAGAGTTATGAAAAAACTTGACTCCCCCAATTACAAAACAATTCAACAGCTCAGACAAAAAGAAACACCTAGGGTTGATATAGCACACACCATCCATAAGTTTGACATATTCCAAAATGTATTTCTGGACAAATTTCAAAATTTTTGTTCCGAAATAGATCTCTGGAAAAATTTAAGAATTTTGGAAATATTAAATTTATAATATAAAAGAGTGAGTCATGTAAAAATTTTTGTATATCATATTTCTTAATATTCTTAGTTATGTTCAGATTGCCATCTTCGCGTCAAACAACGCGTTCGTGATTCGCTCGACTTGTTATAATTTTCTGTAACATTGCTATTTTATTTAAAGGTAGCGTATTCTGTTTAATTGAATTATATAAAGCTATAATAATACAAGAGATGAGGATTTATAAAATATGTAGGAAAAAAGATTTATAACGTAACGATATAATACATCCGTTCCGTTTAATATCGTCGTCTTAACTTAAGAAAAGTATCTTAAATGTAATTACTTAATCATGATATTTGATGAGACTGATGCGATATTTACTCCTTTTCTTAGTATAAAATTACTAAAAATAAATCACTTAAATACGTAAACTGTTAGTATCATTCACGAAATTTCACAGAATTATATGACAAGATTATATATATTTCACAGTAGAAGAATTAAATTGAGTTGTAACATTTCCACTAGGTGAGAGAAGTAATTTCGAACAATTTTTTGTCAGAAGTCACGCGTAAGTTGGAATATATTTTAACTTTAATTATCTTATTGTGTTTAAATGAAAGATCTAGAAAATTGTATTCATAGTAAATATAATGTAGTAAGAGTTTTTTAGCTTATTGAAAGATAGAATGCTTAGCTGAACACGCTGCAAATTATTTTATTTTGTTAACCCAATATTCGTACAATTACAAACTGCAGTAGTCTAACACGAAGCTATTGTTAGGCCTAACATAGCAAGAACGATTATCATTTGATTTCGTTAGCCAAAAAATCTTATAAAATTAATTTTCTAGATTTTTCTTTATTATTTTTACTTTCATTTATTTTGATCAGAGCAAAATCAAAATTTTAATTCATAAAATATTAAAGTGACAAAAAGGAGCTTAATAGCCCATCAAAGATGTCCCTTCCAGTCCAGCTCCAGACTATAACCACCCCTCACTATTTATGTATTCATCCAAATTTTTCCTAAACTCAGTTAAATTTTCTACCTCCACCACCCTTGAAGGCAGCTCATTCCAAAAGCTAACCACCCTGTTTGAAAAGTAATACTGTCTAAACTGCAGATGACTCCTATGCTGCCAAAATTTGAGTTTATGACCCCTTGTCCCTGTGTATTCACTGCTAAACACAAAACTTTTTGATGCATCTATATTATCAATACCCTTAATAATCATAAACACCTCAATAAAATCCCCTCTGACCTTTCTCTTCTCCAGAGAAAACAAGTTTAGAGATTTTAATTTCTCCTCGTTGGACAATCCCATCATCTCGGGTATCATCCTAGACTCCTAGTGGTCTTCTCCAAAGAAATAGATTAAAATAAAAATAAACCTAGAGCCTGAATTTTGGCATATAATAGTAACAGTACATACAAGTAATATTAATAATAATAGCATTACTGTTAGGGAGTACAAGAGAATTATATTTATAAATTATAGTTCTGAACACACAAGTGTGTGAATGTGAAATCACAGTTGCAATTACACAAATCTCCCATAGACAAAATACTAAATTATTGTACTCCAAACAACAAATGAAAAACTTCTACAGTACTATTACACACTGAGTTTGCAAGGTTTATTTCAAGTAGTATTACTGTTAACATTAACAGCATTATTAATGCCACATTGTAACTTTTAAACTGATGTTAGTACTATTATTTTAGATATATTCTTCAGTACAAATTAAATGGACTGAGTATGACTATGAAGCATCATCAGCCATTAAAACTTTTGTGTTTGTCACTTCAAGTTAGATATAATTATTAATATCATTGTTAAAGTATTGGGTGGAATAATATGACACATGACTAATTTTCTATCAATTGGACGTAGTTAAAATTTTCTTTACCAATAATATTATTATTAAACATCAAATTATTGCATCCACTTTAGTATTAATAGGCATTTGTTTTCAACTCAAGTTTAATTTAAAAGTTGAAGTTAGTCACTCATTGTGTGTTTCACATGTATGTAAACCCTGGCTGTTAAGGCAAAACTTTAAAATTAAAAAGGATAGTCATATTCAATGTGGAATTTGAGGTTATACTATCATGGTAACATTTGGTTGGGCTTTGGGGTAGGTTTTGGTATATTAAATTACATATCCACAAAACATCAAAAAATCTAAATTGCTTTCTCAGTCATAACTTTTCAGTAACTAAGATCTACAGCCAACTTGTGTTACCTTGCTTTGATAGAAAACAAAATGACCTACTTTCTAACTGAGAAAAGGGTTGAAATACGCCTACTTCTTTTGAGATTCCATCTTTTGTCTAGTCTCTATATAGGTGCTTAATGTAAATATAGGAGCTACTCAATATAACTTTTGTAGTAGTTTTTGAAGGAGGTTATAAAGGATATTTGGCATCAGCAGGGCATGATATTAATGTTTGCCTGAGGTAATTTACTTTTGAAGCAAACAAGTTGAGATAATGGTTTATCTACTGGGCAATTAAATAATTTTCATGTAGATCAATATCAAATATGACAAGAAGTTGACTGTGAAAGTGTTATTCTGAAGCTTCAGTATTTGTATTAGCTAGTGCCCACTGCTTGTATATGTGCAAAGTTTGTTCTTAATGCCAAATTTTATATTGTAGTCTCCAGTTACAATTTGTAGGCAAAGTAAATTTCAATAGGCACCACACAAGTGATTTAAAAAGTTAGTGTATTATGCTGATCAGGGTTATTCAGAAATTTTTGCTGGATATTAGAAACTATTTAGGAGCAAGATAGTTGGCATATTCATATTTTTCCAGAAAAATATAAAAGTTATTAAAGGTACTAAGAAGCAGGAAGTTATAAAAGACAATGGGATTCTGCTAATGAGCTAATTAATAAAGAAAAATAAGGAAATAGTAATACCTGATTGTGTAGACAGTGACAGAAGTAATTAGAAATCTAGCAAATAAATGTAATAACTATTTTATGAATATTGCAGAAAATTTATTTAAATTGGTAATGAACTACGTAAAACATTTAATATATATGGAAACAGAAGTTCCATGTTCTTATTTCCTGCAGGTAGTGAGGAAGTGAAATTATAGCTATTAGTGTAAGAAATTGTAAAAGCCCAGGGCATAATGGAATTTCATTGAAAATGTATAAGTTATATAAAACCATTAGTATACACTTAAAATGTACCTAATACAACGAGAACTTTTCAGGAGTTAAAAAAAGCTGTAGTAATTACAATGCACAAAAAAAGATGGTAAGAATAATTATGTAAATTACAGACCATTTCTTTATTACCAGTATTTTCTAAAATATTAGAGAAACAGGTTAACTTTTTTAACAAGCACAATTTTTTTCTCTTAAAATCAATATGGAGTTAGAGAAGGGTTAAATACTAATGAAGCATTATTAAACTTCATTCAAAATATTTATAAGTCCTTAAGAAACATTTGACAACTATCTGGACATTATAAAGATTTTGTGAAATTTCAAAATTTTCTGATGCATAAAAGTATTTTTAATTTTAAAATGAATATTACTTTGCATGATAGATAGGCAACATGTGAAAAGAAAAAAAAAAGACATGAGAAAAACATTGCTTTATAAACCTTAAGACTTAATAAAAAGATTTGATATTTTGCATATGAAAGCATTTTAACGTTTACTGATAATCTGCCAAATTTCATTAACATTCAATTACTGATTTAAAAGTTATAGCATGAAAACTATAACAAGCACAAATTGATTACGAGGTTAATCCCAGGGACCGAGCTCGTGCTGAAAGAGTTAATACAATAGAGAAACTTGTGAATTCCTGGGTAATAAACATTATTCACCAACAGATTATATAGATTAGAACAATTATGTTACAATCTGTGAGATGAACATGAGTCATGATATTACTTAATGTGTTACTATAGCCAACTTTTTACAGTGCTTTTGTGTTTGAAAAATGGATGAGGTTGTAAACAGTCCATGAGTGCTGTTAGCATTTTCTTTCTACCAGATGTAATTTATATGAGGTTTGAATATTGTGTCAGCAAGTAATCAAGTGTTGCATATATGGCTGTTCCCAGAAAAAAAAGTAGTTTGACAAGATCACACAACTAGGCCATGGTTAAAGTTTTTAAAAGTGGCAGTTAATGCATCTGCTATTTCAAATTACAAAAAGTATTATTGCATTTCATAAAATAATTTCTACAAAATGTTTATAATTAACAATACAATACCACATTATAGTTCATGCATATTAGATCACTGGGTTTATTGAGGGGGAGGGGATTGAGAGACTGATCAAAGCATTGTTTATAGCTTATAGGTGTCATGAAATTAAACATATGGTACAGTGTCACAATATTATTTCTATTAAATTCAATGATAGTGTATTGTTTTTATTTTTTCTACATCTCTCCTGTGACATACAAATAGAGCAGGTGTCATGTCATTTATTAATGGGCTGTAAAAATAGAATTTGTTAAATAGCATTTACTAGCTTTTGTGTTACCCTTGAAAACAGAAGCACTGTTGTTGCTGTATTTATGTGAGACATGTAATTTCCATGGTATGACCTGTGGTAGTACTGAAGACATGGATGTTGCACATTTACAATATTTTACATATCTCTTGAAAAAGAATAAGTCAGCAATAAAGCTTCATTATCATATGACTGTTGAGTCATTACATCACAGTTTGACTTTTACTAATGGTTTAGGCTTTGAAAGAGAAAATGCTACATACAAGTTAAGTTGTTATTAACCCTTTTGTTATGGGCATTCTTTACAGTGCATGTCATGAGGTTTTTAGCAAGTTGCATTTAAAATTGAATTAAAGTACAGTTCATTAATGGTATACCAATAAGTATAGCATAAAAATGTAGCCAATAACCCATATTTTAATAGTGTATATATATATATTTTAAATTCTTAATTTTCAAAGGCAATATTAAAAAATAAATCATGAATTTCTTCTAGTGTGAGAATTTTGACATTTCCCCTCTTTAATTTATTTACCACCCCTCTAAGAAATATGAAATTTGACACAAGTTTCTCATTATAATGTTGTCATTGCTCAGGAGAAGCATAATTTTTATAGCTTTCAATCTTCTTTGGTTACAGAGCCATTAAATAGAAAATCAGACCCCTCTTGCCACACCCAACTGTCACATCCTACTATCTTTGAGAAGTTGCCTATAGTTTATCTCACCTTTAATACTGTATTATTTATAACCAATAGAAATCCAAGGTTTTCATCTATCATATGATGTATTATATTACATTGTTTACTGTATAGAGAATTGTCAATTTCACTTTAAGTTCAAGCCTTATTCCCATGGAAAACGCATTGATGAGCTTAGATGAACTTGTAACGGCTCTTGCCGCATAGTTAGAAAGCCAGAAAATGTGATAGCCATGGGACATTGTCTGCTTTTTGAATGTTATTTTTCTGTGTTCTCTAGTGCATTATTTAATTAAATAAAAAATTTAGTTCATTACTAACATTAGTATAAAAAAGTAGGGTTAAGTGTCATCAATTTTTGACTGCAAAAAAAAAGTACTTTATTTCTTGTTTTTCATATGTATCCTTTATTTGTTATTATAAAAGTAACTAAAGTGTACAAGTTGGAAATATTTTGTGTTAGTTAAGGTTAGATTAAGTAAAATAAATAATGTAATGAAAAAATTTTTCATGCCGAGAACAGCTTGTGTGTAGTGTAATTTGTTAGAGTTACTTGAACTGTATGTTTGCCAAGTGATTTACAACTTATAATGGCATGAATAGTAGTCAGACACAGGTCAAAGGGCAATAAAACAATAAAATTTAAGTATAAATGGATGTATACCATTACGAGTTTAAAGCTATTTAGGATAAACAAATATAGTTTCATGATACAATTTGAAGTCATTCTAGAAAGAGAAAAAGGGTAATTTAGATTTATTTAAGTTTTTTTTATGGTTACGAGTTCAGTCAAATTAACCAACCATGTATAGAGTTAGGGTAGAGAAAATAATATCAAAAAGTTTGAAATTTATTCAGGAGGTATCGGAGACTAAGCAAATTAAATTGGAGATTTTTGAAATAACGAAAAGTATTTTTAATTTTAATGTGGAAATCACTTTGCACTAAGACTAATAATAAAAAACAAACTATATATATATATATTTATTCACAGACAGATCTTTTGTAAAAATACTTCTTTAAAAGTTGCCACATTTTGTGTAGATCACTTACATTATTAAAAGTTATAGTATGAAGTACAAAGGTTACGAGGTCAGTCAATTCGACTGAGCCTGTGGTGAGAGAGTTAACATGTAGTGTTAAGCACTAAGTTATTAATGTGTATCAAGTGATTAGAAGTGATAGGAAAATTGAAAGGTCAACAGATGCATACATATGAAAGAAACAAATAATGCTAGATTGATATCTCACACAGTGTCAGAGTTTTCTCACTCAAACTCATTTCACTGTCTGGTCCTTTTATCTGTGGAAAGTACTACTTCAGAGTGAGGATTGAACAAAGTAGCCAAGGTGAAATTTTGATTCTGGCAAATTGTGTTTCAGACTTTTCTCTCAAAAATGCTTTCATTGTTCCCAGTAATTTGTTTGTCTTGTTTAGATAAGTGACAGTGAAGAGTACTCACAGTTGGAATAATTTATTGTGTCTGTGAAGCTAATGTTTTAATGATTTCTTTAAATAGTTGTAGCAATTTTAAACATGACTGTAATATGAATCATTGATTATTATTGAGATTGATAATGTTATCATCAGTTGCATAGAGGTATTTTTTTCCTAAAGCCTTTGAAAGCATTAGAATGTTGAATTCCATTTTGCCCATACCTCTTGTACAATTTTTTTTTTTTGAGGAATGTTCAAATAGTCATTAATTTTGAACATGATAGATATGAATGTTTAAATTGTGTTACAATCATTGTACAGATAACTGATATTGATTGTTTTGTAACAGGAAACATTCTTATCCACTGCTGCAGTTGTTTAGATATAAAATGCAAAGAAGCCCTATTAATTTCAGAGAATAAGCCACCTTGGAATTTTTAATAATTACCGTTCATATTTAATTAGTATACTAACCTATGTGTGATTTAAATAGTATGATTTTCTTTGCTTGCGTGTACTTTCAATTTCACAATGCACTACAATATAATTTCAACAATTATATTCTTGCACGAAGTCCAAATTTATTATGCAGGCTCAAATTATTTTGAAATCTTCTGTTTAAGCCTAAATTGATTAGTGTCTTGCTTGCCCCAGTGACGTCTTAATGGTGAAACATTGGCTTCACTAAAAACAATTGTTTTCTGGAGTAATAGGTCATGTTTCATTTATCTTTTAAACAATAAAAGAAGCTATATTTGTGATACTAGGGTTTCAGTGCTGATGAAATAGCAAGTTAGTATAGTGGTTGTTACTGTCCGAGTATACAAAAAAATTTATATTAGAAAAAAAAAGTGTAAAACTGTTTTTACATCTGTCATTATAATTGTATTTATGTAAATATGTTTAATATTTTAATATATACACATTTAAAACACCACATCTGTTTTAGGTCAAATAATACAAGTCGAGCCTTAATTTTTTCCTTCAAAAGGTACGTTTACATGTTTAAAAAAATTCTCTGCAATAAGAATGTATTGTCTCATTGGTGTTTTTAATTTTTTTTGGTAGATTATTTTTTATTTCATAATTTGCCCTTGCATATTATGTATCCAGTTAAATTACAGAGAAACCTCAATTATTTTTATCTTGCTTCTCTATCATTCATGAATTTTTATATTTTCAGGTGAATTAATTTTTGTTTCTTTAGCTGCATTTGTATGAGTCAGAAAACAGAAAAGCCGACACTATCAGGTCAACGCATCAAGACCAGAAAAAGAGGTTTGTTATTGAACATGTTCAAAAGTTACTAAGATATGTCTTGTAATAAAAAATATGAAAGAGTTGAATGATATTTCTGAAATGGTTTTAAAAAATGTTGTCCTAAAGATATAAAAAAAATTATATTTGGTTGGCTAACTGTAAATTATGTATCAATTAAATAAAAAGTGAGTGATATTTGATGGTTAGAAAAGATTGCTGGTAATTGGGAATTCTTTTGGTATGTATTTTTTATTATATTTGATGAGTAATAAAATATTTGCAAATAAATGTAAAAGTTCAAAAGTAGAAAAACTTTCATACATTTTGCTAGATAAGTAAAACATTAGTTTACTTTAGATATGGCCCCCCAGTGGCACAGCAGTATGTCTGCAGACTTACAATGCTAGAAACCGGGTTTTGATACCCGTGGTGGTCAAAGCACAGCCCATTGTGTAGCTTTGTGCTTAATTACAAACAAACAAACTTTAGATATGATAACAGATTATCTAAGCTATAAAGTATTAATGTTTTATGTTTCATTATCAAAACAATTATATTTCTAATAAAGTCACTGTAATAAAATTGTGGTTTAAATAAAAGAACCATTACTGTTATTAAGATGTTTTGATGTTACACTTATATTTCATTTACAACATCTCATTGAAAGATATAAGAATGTGTAATAAGCTAGTGGAAAAGGCTTCTCAATCAATATCAAAGTATGGTTTTCCTTAAAACGTTGTGCTTGCAGTCAGCTTTTTCTTTTTAAATACTTTTGACCATTGTTTACAACTAATCTAAATTTTTGTAATTATGCCTGGATTGTCAGTTAGCAAAAAAAGAAAGAAAAATACCAGTATGTCTTGATAATCAGTGGTAAAACACTAGGATCCATAGCTTTTTGCCAGTTATCCACTGCTCATTTTAAGTTCTACAATTTGCTTAGTAGATGAGATTGCAGCTATGCAATATTTTGAGCTATGTTTATTTGAGATGTATGAATCATTATAATAACCTATCAACGTATGATGCTGTCAGGGTTTTAGTAAATGAGTGAGTTGAGGATTCTTCTACAGTAGGTGTCTGTGACTTGTTGGTGATAAAGTTGAACAATGTTGAACAACAGTTCTTTACGCTATAGGATCTTACAGTTGTATCTCAAATTCTAAAAAAATTCTCTTTTCTTGTCAAAAGTTCACACTGGTAGTTTCAATTACTTTAGAATCCAATTGACAAGGTTAATTATTTTTCTTTTCTCACAATACAAATCAGTGAATAATTCACTTACGTTCCCCACGTAAGTGTCCTGAATCTTAAATAAATGTCTCCTTTTTGTCAAAGTCCATACAGACAAGTTCAATTAGTTTAGAACACCCTTTGTCAAGACAAATTATTCTCCTTATCTCTATTAAACTGTGAAACTCACTTTCAGATATCACCCGTTATGGCTAATCACTCGCACACTGGCTAATTTCATGTTTTTTTTTCCGCTAACTAATTTTCTGACTGAACTTGTCTTCTTTCTTCACTTTACTTGCACTTGCTTGGTCAGCTATATTTATATGTTGCCCAACTAAGGCCTCAAACTTTCTCTAAACTGTGTGAGTGGCGCTGTAAGGTAACAATACTCACTTAAGTAACAAAAAAAATATACTGAAAATTTGAGTAACATAACAATATTAGTAAAGCCTAGACAACAATGTAATTGCAAACATAACGTACGACTCGTACAGAGTTATGTTATGAAATTTTGTCACAATTATCACCTTTAAAATAATTACTTTTAACTCTCTTGTTATGAAAAATAAATAATCATTAAATATTAAATTACCAAATAAACTAAATAATAATGCCTACACTAAACAGTCTTGTATATCCAACAGATGCCTTATTTGTCTTCTTGGGTTAACAATGAAGTTGGTCAGTTCTTTAAAGAAGATGACATATTGATCTAGTCATTAAACAGCTGTAATACAAAAGAATCACATCATTCCAACCTTTGTTGTTCAAAGTACCATATATTCTTTGAACTTTTCCTCCAAAATAACAATGTTATCATTTGTATGAAGTAAAAGAGTTGAGTCGCAGGTTTTCCAGATAAAAGAAAAACAATAACATTGATCATGTAACATTTAATGGTTAGTAAAGAAAGTAAGACCTTAAGGGTGCCACTATTGCATGCTTATAAGGTATGTCTGTTCTGAAAGTGTTAAAAACTGATCTTTGTGTGTCTTAGGTTACTTATAAATAGAGTCTTGTACACCATATCATTCTCAGAATAAATCAATCTGAAAAGTAAATGTCTATCATCTATCTAAACCCGTATTTTCTAGATGAAAGAGAGAAATACGACCCTTCAGGATTTCGGGACTTGATTCTGCAGGGTCTTAATGAGGCTGGATCTAGCTTAGATGCTGTGTACAAATTTCTGGACACTGCTGGATCCAAGCTTGATTACAGACGTTACGGAGAAGTACTTTTTGATATACTTCTTGCTGGTGGCCATCTAGGTAAGTAAATATTTGAAGGATGAGTGGGGTATTTTTATTTAAATGGAGAAAATAAGCATGTGTGCAAAAATCATCTCACCTGCTCAGACTTAGTATATTTCCTTTCAGAAGTAAGTGCTTTCTCTAAAATATTTGGCAAACAGTTAAATAGAATAATTAATCAGCAATTTGATTTAGGGAAACTAATAAAGAATACAGTTTCTTAATATTTGCTGTAATATGAATTTCTGGTGCTGGTGACCAGTTTATTATATCCAATGCTTATGAAATGAGATGCCAAATTTGTGGAAAAATGTGAAATACAATTACATTAACCAACCATTCATACAGCTCTACTCATTGTGATTGCCATATTACTTTTTTGCTTCAATGACAATTAAACTGAACCGTATTAATGAATTTGTATAAGTATCTTGCTGTGATGAAACTGTAATGAATAAATAAATAGATAAAGTAAATAAATGTTTTCTGAATTACCGGGATAATTTTTCAGTATGTGGGTAACGTTATGTAAGTTTTGGTCATCAAACTTGGGGTAGTTACTTTATCAGGCTGCTGTTAAGAAGGCTCAGGGTTAGTATACGTATGCTGCTGAACAGTTCTTCATTTTCAGCTGTGGGCACATTATAAGAGTGACAGTCAGTCATGTTTTTTAATTCATTATCAGACACAGCTATTGTGGCAGTGAGTGCTGCAGGCTGGCTCTCTTTTCTTGGACACTAGTTGAAAATTAGAGATAGTTATATCTGAACCCTAGGCCATGTACACAAATGATGATATTCAGGTTAAAAATACCAAATGTTGATTAACATTATGAATATTATTTTATTTATCAGAGTAGTTAACTGTGTGAAATATAAAAAGTTATACAATTTTGTCAGGTGTAAGTCACCAAGGAAGGAGCATGCCACTTTTTATAGTTTTATGCACTAACCTGTAAATCTTCATAATTGGTATCAAGTAGATGTCAGTATGTGGTGATAGTGTTTTAAATTTATATATATTGAAAACTGTGATGTCTGTCTCGTTTGAAAACCTGAGCACACAGGCAAAGCTCAACATTCACTTTTAAAATGATGGGAGAACAAGCATGAATAATATTGATGCCAAATTTTATTTCGCAGGCTGAATATTCTACACTAGACTGTTAGGAATTAATCACACTATCATTCACATTTCAAAATGTGATGTAACTTAAAGAATAAAAATGTAGATTTACCGTATGTTATTGTTGAGCAGTTCTAAGCATGACTGAAATGCTCAACAATTAATTTTCCCGGTTGGCTCTGAGTGAAACCAGTGAAGTCCATTAAATAATTTAAATTGATAGATTACTTAAACTTTTCCCATTCACTGGGGATGGATACTTTTGCTTGTGAACCATAAGTTACACTGATATAATGTTTTTACAAATCACTTTGAATGAAAGCATTTCTTATAAAACTATTAACATAATAGTAGTATGAGTTTTTTAACTGGTGAGTATCTTGTAGCAGTTATATGTAACAGTATTTTTAGATTAGATTTTAATAGATGATTTGTCTGTGACATAAAACTTCAAAATGAAATATTATAAGGTATTTTTTCAGCAGCAACTAAATTAGAAACATATTCTATCTATTGTTATGCTGTAGAAAAGTTAGTGATCTTTAATTAGAAGTCAGTAATTTTCTATTTGAGAAAGTATTTCATGTTCAAGGATAAAACATTTATAAAGAAATGCCTAATTTCTTACACACTACTAGTAATATAAAATTAAGTAAGTTATTTTCCTAAAAAGTACAACAGTTTTTATTATAGTTAATATTTTGCTTTATTTACTCATACAGTATTAGTTATTGTGTCTGGCTTATCACGTAAATAACTGTTTTGTTTTTTTAGCCCCAGGTGGCACTATCGTTACTGATTTTGATACAAACAAGCTTTTGCGTACTGAGGTGTGCGTATTTTCTGCCGACGATGACTTGGACTCTCTTAAAGGCTATGCTCAGGTAAAGTTTCTCTTCTTTATTTTTTAGAATATTGACATAAGATCTGTGCTTATAATCCAGTTTGTTTTAAAATGAAATATTGTATGAATAATCTGTTTGACCCAATTCATGTAGATAAATAGGAAGCGTACAGTTTCAGCAATTTAATGCACAAGAATTGTGAAAAATTGAGTAAAAGACTATACATAAAAATTTTTATATAAATGTTTGATGAATTAATAAACTCTGGTGTTTTAAAACAATTTGACTTTAACATTCTAAGATGTTAATACTCTGTTTATTTAACTGATTACAGTGAATGGCCTGGAAATATACTTGATTGTTAAAAATGTTTTTATATCCAGTTTCTTAAGGTATTTAATAACAATTAGGCTAACTTTATTTGGACTAAATTCTATTATTCAAAATAGAAGGACAGTCATTATTCAAGAAGAGCAAACTGTAGTGAATGTCATGATTGACATGTTTGCAGAAAATTTCGTTGGAGTTAAACAGAAAAAATAAACTCATTACAAAACTGAAATCATGTTTCCTTCAAAAAACACAGAAAAAATGTGAATAGACTATTAAAATGAGCCCAAATGAGTTGCCTTTTCCTTTATTTTCAAAAAAGAATCTTACTGTAATGCACACTATTTTGTCTCTCGATCTGCTCTCTATCTCTTTCTACAGTTTTGACCTGAACATCTCCAATAAATAGCCCACCCTGACTTAATGTTGATAAGAACATTTGTCATCATAGGCCAACAGCAAATGGCTGATTGCTAAGTATCTGGTTGGTTTCTCGTTTCTGTCAAGTTCACTTTTAATGCCTCCTATAATACTGCCAGATTACTGTCTGTAGGACAGGTATGTCTGCTGGTTTCATTAAAAACAAATAGTGTTTTGAAGAGTTCCCTTTTTAAGTTGCTCTTCGATGTTAATTAGAAACTGGGATGATTGAAGAAAAACAACTTTTCTTTGTAATTGGGTGCTGGTTTAAACATGAAGTGTAGTCTAGTGAGAGAGAGAAGGGAAGCAATCGAAAGCTGAGTTCGTAAATATATTTCTTCATTCATCCGTTTCCTTTACAGGGAAAAAAATTAAGTTATACTCAATGATAATGAAACTACTGAATTACTTCAGTCCTCTTTTTTCCAGGTATGTTTTGGCGTAAATAAATCTGTATTAGTTTCATGTTGAGAAAAAAATAGAAAAATTAAGTTGCCAAAACATACCTGGAAAAAAGAGGACTGAAGTAATTCAGTAGTTTCATTATCATTGAGTATGTAAATAAATCTGTATTCGTTTCATGTTGAGAAAAAAATAGAAAAATTAAGTTTCAGAACTACGTGTAGAAAAACAGTTGAAATACTTCAACAGTTTCATTATCATTCAGCTTAATGTAATATGGCAAGTTTTTTTTCTCATTTAAACAAAATACCTGTCCTAGTTAGAGTCAGTTATAAGAGCTTGCATTAAAAAACATTGAATTTTCTTTCTTATAAATGCAGCTGATTACAAAGTTGGTCCGAAGATACAAGTATCTGGAAAAAACATTAGAAGATGAATTCAAAAAGGTAAGCCCAAGTTATAGAAAAATAATTTAATTTGTATTAATTTTCTATTTGCTCACTGCAGTTCACGTAATTGGTACTGAGTCAATATACGTTATGCACACAGCTGTATGGTATTAAGAAAATTCACACTTAGATAGTATTTTTCTTAAAGATTTAAGAAAAACAAACTAAAATTCACACATCTACGAAATATTGCAATTCTCAACTCTAGCTTTTCTATTTTTAATTGATTTTTTAGTTGATTTTTTTAACTCCTTCCACTATTTGTGACAGAGTGATTTTAAATTTTGCATGAAGGTACTTGATTTTCCCCCCAAAATATAAATGGAGAAATATTTCTTGAAAGATTTATGAGGGAGCTCCAAACATGGGAGGAGAAGTCAAGAGGTTTTGGGGATCTCTGGTTTGGTTGCTGCTTTACCTGAAAATTGTTATTGACATGAAGATGTTTTAAACAATAATTTCAATTCAGATTTTTGAAATTATCATTTTGAGAGATCAAGGTGGTTTTTGAAGTTCTTTAGGATTAGTTACACTGACACCCCTTTACATGAAAATTGGCATTTACACATGTAAGGAATAAATCAAAATACTGTAGTATATGTATTTAGATTTTTGAAATTTCTATATTTAGTTTTCCAGGTGAGTGATCAGTTGGTTTCCTAGTCCCTCCCAACTGTGGGGTGTAAAGAAATGGTTGTTTCTTTTGAATTTTCACAGGTAATGTGCTAGGTAAAGATACATGGGTTTAGTAAAGTTTGGAGATGGCTTTAATGGGTAATGAAGAAGACTTTATTACATATTTAACATTGGAACAAATCTATGTTTCAACAAGGTTTTGTCATCCCTCAGGTATAAGTAATTTTGTTCGAAACAAGAATATATATACAGTTTAGAACAAGTAGGTTATTTGACCTGAGATTGCTTAACAGCTTAGAGTAGAGTGGTTTGGTTAAAATATTTGGGTTTCTCGAACTTTTATTTCTAGGTGGTATCAAAAGGATGCTGTCATGTTTTTTTTTACTTATAACATATTAATGTTCAATCCAGAACTAAAAGCAGAGAAGTGTAGAAAGCACTAACTTTAACTATAATTGAAATAAAGAGTATATTATACATTACATGGACATCCCTAAACAAGCACCTCAAAAACGCCTTTTTTTTTTTTAGGTTCTTGTCTTCCTGAAAGCCTTTTCTCCTGAAGAGAGAACTAAACTCGCCAAAGTTACCTGTATCTTGGTTGGGAGTGGCCTTGTTCCCAGTGTGGTGTTAATTAGCTGTCTGCAAGATCATCTGATTAAAGATGGTAAGTCAGAATAATAATAAAGGCGAAAATTGGTTTGTAACTAAATGTATTACCTAAAGTAAAATTGGCAGATTGTTTTATTTTGTTTGTTGGATCTAACTGTTATTCAGGTCTCATTTATAATACTCCTCTGACATCGAAAACAAATAAAATAATTTAATTTTTTGAATTTATAAAATAAGACATTCTTTTTATGCATATGTGTTTTTTTTGTCATTTTACAGGTATTGCTCTCCAGTTTTTACTGGATTTCTTTAAGACTTGGCTGTTAGAGAAGGATGCCCCTACCTTGTGGACAGCCCTTCGTAAAGCCGGATTAGAAACGAGATTGATGGTAAGTGACAGTTTCACATAGCTTGCCTAAAGGTTTGAGAGTTATTTGGATTTTTAATTCAAAAATTGCATTTTCATGTTGTTTTTTAATTATTTAATATGGTAGGAAACATTCAGTATGTTATTAGAGAATTTTTTTTCAACAAGTATATGTGTATAAACCATTGGTTCTAATTAATATGTTAGGTTTAATATCTAGAGTAGTTAACTTTCTTCATTATATTTAATTTATTTAAAGTCAATTTGAGCATTCTTTAGTCAGGCCTATTAATTGTTACATTTGAAAACTATATTTGGTAATTACTAACATTAAAACTTTCTCATGAAATAGTAGACATCTTGCTAGAGTAGAAAATAATTTAGTATTTGTAAAATATGTTATACATTCTTAGCAGTTATAAAAAATACTTGTGCATAATTAATTCATATTAAAAAATAGCTGAAAATATTTTTGAATTGAATGGATATAAAACATGAAAATTTGTGAAGTTATAAAGGTTAGTTTTCAGAATAATTATGAAAAGTCAAATAATACATATCTCTTGGAGATAAGAACTAAACCAGTATTCTTAAACCAGTCGTCTTAAGTACCATGTGTTGAAAGCCATCATCTAGAATTAGTTTTTTCAGCTGGTATCATGATGTCAATTCATAGGGTCAGGCTTTTCTTTTCTATGACCATTTGGCCGAAGTTAACAATGTAATTATAAGATTGCAAAATAATTTTTTTTTCCCTTTATTTTCAATAGGAATTTCTTCCAACTACTCGACAAACCCCAGAAATTTTCCATGAAACTTTTGAAAACCATGGTTTGAGCTCCTTGCTTGATTATTTGGTTAGTGAAACTTTATAAGACAATTTAAAGACAGTTTATTTTTTTAATTGTACCTTCAAAATTATTTTTATTTCCTTGTCATTAAAAGAAATTTGTTTTTAAATTTTATTTTAAAGAACAAATACATTTATCGCTGGAATGGAAATAGACGTGATGTCATAAATTTAGCAAAGCATTTATAATCAACCTTTTAGCATACACTAGCTGAGAGTACCCATTAAGGAAGCAAAAATTGTTTAAAGAAAATGCTCGATAATGTTTTCCTTCCCTCCTTTTTTTTGTTATTTAATTCCTAATGACCTAATAAGATGCTAATTGCATACCTTGCTTTGTGAAAGGTAATAATTGACTCTTTAACTGTTTAAATACATGTGAATTTTAATTCAAAGCCAAAAGTCTCTTAGAAAAGTGAAAATGTGTCATATTTCAAGGTGTGTTTTATCTACCCCCACCCAAAGCAACTTTGTAATCATGCATGCTTATTGATGAACATGTTTATCATGTATAGAAAGTATCAGGTCAAACTAAAATGCCATGTGCAATCCCTTTGACAGCCAGCTTGCCCAAGAGAAAGCTCAAAGATCTGTTGTACAAGTCAGCCAAGAGAGCTCACGCAGCCTATTAGAGTCAGCTTCTGTAGAAGGGACTGTGGCTCTTCTACTCAAGCAAAAAATAAAATGTTTATTAGTGTAAAATAATTAGAAATTAAACAGATTTTGGGAAGTTTTGTGCATATTAATAGCTTGTAAACTACTCAACAGTTGGTTGTGAAAGATACGAATGTAATACTTTTATGGTATGTCAGAATACAAAATAAATTATAAGTTCTTAACAGTACAGTTACAGTACAAATTTGACATTTGGGTTCCATTTGGTTGATTATTAACCACACTTATAATGCCCCATTTTAACCTTAAAACGGAAAACAAATCTACCTTGAAAGAGGGAGCTCTCTTCTCAAACTCGTCCACCTGCGGTTTTCCATTTTTTGGAAACTTGACCACTCTATGATGTATGTTGAACTCGAAGCATCTACACTGTTTTCATCTACTATAACACATAACATAATTTGATATAGCCAAAGTGTGAAGAAAGCATATCTTCGTAAGAGAAGACTACAAGAGTAAATAACATTTAATATTATACTTTTACAGAAAGCTCATCAGGACACTTCTGTAAAGAAAGATCTACAACAGCAAGTTGTCCCCCTTCTGAAAAATGATGCTCCAATGAAAGAGGTTAGTACATGGATTGTGGGTATGATAGAAATTGCTTAATCCTTGTTAGATTTTTTTACTTTTTGGAAGGACTGATGTATCAACATTGTTATGTGATTTGTTTTATTTTCTTCTGCTTTTTTTGAATTCGAAATAATCACAATTCATAAAGTAAATAAGCTTATGATTTAAGCATTTGATATTTCAGACTTTCTGATTTACGGTAAGTCTGTTTGATGATCAGTTTGAGTTCATTAATTCTTAACTTTCTTGATCAGCTAAATAAATCATTTAAGTTGCTCGCAGTTTTGTAAAACATATCTTGTAACATTTAGTATTGAATTGAACTTCATATTTGAGCTTTGATTTAAATAGAGTTACATTTAGTTTGGAACCAGTCTAGAGTCACAGACAGGTACACTTATCCTGCTTGCATCATAGTTCTCTTCAATTTAAATAGATGTTTGATTTTATTTTTGATATTCACCTGCTTCCAACACTCATTAGTTTTTGCTTCTAATATGCCCCCTAGTGCCATGGTGGTAAAGTTGCAGATTGAGCCTGGCATGGCTTGATGGTTAGGGTGCTTGACTCATAATCTATGGGTCTCAGGTTCAAATCCCTGTTACCAAACATGCTTGCCATTTCAGCCATGTGGGTGTTATAATGAGATGGTCAATCCCACTATTTACTGGTAAAAGAGTGGTCCAAGAGTTGGAAGTAGGTGGTGTTGACTATCTGCCTTCCCTCTAGTCTATGACTGTTAAGTTAGGGGTGGCTATCTCCGACATAACCTTTGAGTAACTTTACACGAAAGTCAAAACAAACTAAATGTAGAAACCAGGTTTTGTTACCTGTGGTGGGTACAGCACAAATAGCCCATTGTGTAGCTTTGTGCTTAAATAGACAAAAACAAACAAAGCTTCTAATGTGTTTTTAATCATGTAGGCTAATGTTTAGAATTGTATGCAGAGAGAGAGGAACCATGGTTATATAATACAGTTAGTTCTGTCTTTACATTGAGGATAAAAGTCATATCATTGTACAATATGATAACATGCATATTTAATAAAGTATTCAGATTTTTATTACATTTGTTTTTAACTTTAGAACACCTGCCAAAGTGTCCCATTTTAATCTATTATGTATATAAATGTTAACACTTTTTTTTTTCAAAGCACAGTTGTAGTTGTAACTAAAAATATTATGTCTGGATCCTGCAAGTCTTTAGATTTCCTTTTGAACTATGCTTATACGAGGCCTGTGAGAAAAGTATCCGACCTTTGGCCGGGGAATAAAAACTGGAATACCTGGAGCG